CACATCTCGATTGTGAGTCAGGAGCCGGTCCTGTTTGTCGGCACGATCGGGGAGAACATTGCGACGGGAAAGCCCGGCGCCACACAGGAAGAGATCGAAGAAGCCGCCAAGAAGGCCAACGCACACGACTTTATCATGCAGTTCCCAGACAAGTACAACACGGCCGTGGGGGACCGCGGCGTGCAAGTGTCTGGCGGCCAGAAGCAGCGCATCGCGATCGCCCGCGCCATCATCCGCGACCCTGCGATTTTGTTGCTGGACGAAGCCACGAGTGCGCTGGACAACGAGAGCGAGCGCATTGTGCAGGATTCGCTGGATCAGCTGCTCAAGCTCAAGCGTCGGACGACGATCATCGTGGCGCATCGGCTGTCGACGGTGCGGAATGCGGACGTGATTGCAGTCGTGGACGGTGGTCGCGTGGCCGAGCAGGGCACGCACGACGAGTTGATTGGCATCCCGAACGGCATTTACGCCAACTTGGTGTCGCGCCAAATGCAATAGATGACAAACAGCACCAAATTTAACTTAGTTACTTTCATGTCTGTACACACGTTTCGTCCTCTTGTGCCTGGACTTCTAGACACGCTTGTTGTGTTGCAAATTCCGCTGGAATTGCCTGCGCTCCTGCGGGTGACGTCAACGTGTGTAGTACGTCCCTTGAACGACACTGCAATTGCAATCGTGATGACACGTTTAATTGTTCAACGCCGTCGTTCTTGATGTATGTAACACCGTACTTCTTGCTGACGTTAAACTTACAAAGCGCACTACCTGCGGCATGACATTGCGTACGGAAGTGCGTGGTTGCCCTTGGGGGTGAAGCCGAAGGAGGGGCTGGCGTTTCGAATGCATAGACGGACTCGACGCGTGTGCGGCCGCGCATGCAGCGCGGGGGAGGACGAGTCATCGAGCTGTTTCGGTTCGTCCCAAGGTAGTACGTACGTGCAATGCATCGATTCCATCTGCCGTGTTGTTTGTGGCACGCGCAAGAATTGGTCCAATGTCGCATGCCGTCGTCCATGGATCCCCCGTTGGGATACATTGAAAGGTGACACCAACTCTCGCCGCCCCATGCGCACGTGTGATGCGTTTGCAAACGCGCAAAATCGTGCTGCCTGTCGCCTGTGCCTTGTCTCCTGTAGGACGTCGTGTCCACCAAGTAGTGTCGACAGAGGCGGATTATTCCTGGACGGATTTGGTGTTCAGAAGCTGAGGTGTTTTCGGTGGGTTTCTCGTTTCTGGACAGAGCGGAAACGCACCTCCATCGACACTTCCAGCCGAATCGCAAAAAAAAAAACCTCGCGTTTCCACGGTTAGCTAAATGTTGGATGGTCGTCGGGGGGGGCCAACGACGAAAACGCTGGGCAATGGCACATTCAACGCGACGGATTGTCCATGCCTGGCACCAACACGACGAGTTTACTGTCCCGCCCACAGGAGGCTGGTCGACGACAGCGAGGACGAGTCCACTCCCGTCGTGCGGTTGGGGGAGTACACCAACCGAAAGGGCGCGATGTGGGCCAACTCAATACGCCCCCCGCTAGATCCCCAGGTGCCCCATGCAACAAACGGTATATGCCGTGATATGCGCATTCTTCCATGTAGGTGGCTAAGTCCAACGTGACTGGTGTATCTGTCGCAACGTTCAGCGACTGGCGACACGACACTGGAAGGGGCGGACAGCGCACGCATCGCCTTGCTCGTCCAGTAAAGTGAATTCCATCCACTTGAATGGTCCACAGCAAATTGGCATCGTTTTAATAGGAATCGTGCCGACTCGAAATCCTCCCCAACAGCTTTCGACTCGAGCTGTGTCGCGATGACGTTGCACGGGGCGGTGAAACTTGGGGCTGGAGGTGGTCTCGAAGAGGATTTCCGAAGCGGGGGCGCTGCAATACGATGACGACGGAGACGGAGCTCCTCGCACCCAATGTGTACTCTGCGCACAATGAATCACCTGGTCGAGGAGAATCGTCAATACGCTTTGATTGAATTGCTTGGCAGATGTCCATGGTCTCTCTCAACAACGCAGCGTATGGCAAGCATAAACGTGTTGGAGGGTTCGCTGGCCCAGCCATGAACGATGCCATGGAGGCGCGCTCCCAGAGGAACACTTGGCAAAGATTATCCGATGACAGGACAACGAATGCTTCCGGGGCCCGAGGGGACCACAATTTGCAACATCGCTCGATGGTCAAATCGGAACTCGTTTGGTGGTGGCCTTGCCTACCGTGGCTTCGCAAGTTTCGATTTGACGGCGTAAGGATGTTGGGCCTCCTCCCCCTTGGGCTCCATCACGCCATGATCACGATCTCATCCCCCCCTTTCTCGTAGCAACTTCAGCATTTACTTGTCGACGTAGCATGAGGTCGCCCGCATTCTCGGAGAAGAGGCGTCGGCAAACATGTTGAAGCCAAATGCATCCCCATGACGACGACTTGACGAATGTTGCCAAAGCGGCTTATGAGGGGCAATAAACTTGCCAGCGGTCGACGTGGATGGAATCGCGTTGTGTGGGATTCTCGTCATTCGGGGGATCGGGGCTCATGAACACGGTGCAGGGGTCTCTTTCAGGTTCTGTTACATTTTGTGAATGGCGCGTCGATCATCTCTCGAAGTCTTGCTTTGGCTCGTAGAATTCGTGGTGTGGTCAGTCGTCTCGCCAGCGAAGAGCTGTCCCGCCAACCATTTCTCCACCTCAGATGTGACCACGATCGACTGACGCGTATGTGGCAGGCACCGTGTGCTTTCATTGCACGTGGAGTGTTAGGCGGGCATTAAGCAGTTGGTCACATGGCTCAACATGCCCGACCGACGTGGTCGAGGGTCGTTTCGTCATCATCGAAAGGGCAGCGGCAGGCACGGCCCCGACACTTGACGGCCATTCCGTCGATCGGTATGGTAGACATCGCGCGCACGGCTTTCGTGTTTGGCTGGGCGGTCAGGATGGAACACTCTGGACAGATCGAAACGGTGGGATTCCTTTCGGCTGGGTGGGGTCGCTGGGACCTCTGCTGACCACTGCAAACAACTCGACGCGACGTTGCGAAGATCGCCGGCCATTCGAACACTCCCCGCCACCGCCACACCTATGACGACCGACCCCGCCGCCGACAAGTATCACCAAGTCGCGTCGCCAGCCAACTCGACCTCCGTCCCGGTGAGCACCGCTGAATCCGCTGACGTGTCGGATCCCGTGCCACCCCGGTTGGCGTCGTTGGCGCAATTGTTTCATTTCGCCGACAGAACCGACTACGTGCTCATGGCGGTCGGGTCCATCGCGGCCATTGCGACCGGCTTGTGCGAGCCCATTCAGATGGTCCTCCTAGGCAACGTGATTAACGCGTTCACCAAGCCGCAGGAGTCGACATCCGCAGTGCCGTTTGACCGGGACGCGTTTCAGCGCGGCATCTACCACGTTTTCGTCCAGCTTGTCATCCTTGCCGCGGTCGTCTTCGTGTGCGGGCTCCTTCAAATTGCATGCTGGTCCATCACGTCGTCCCGCCAGGCCAAGAAGATCCGCCATGCGTTCGCGTCAGCGATCTTGCGCCAAGACGTCGCGTGGTTTGACACAGTTGATCCAATGCAGCTCGCCACGCGAGTCGCGCACACGACGCTGCTCGTACAAGAAGGCATTGGTCGAAAAGTCGGCGACGGGATTAACTTCTGCTCGATTGGCGTGACGGGCCTCGGGCTGGCTTTCTACTACGGATGGCAGCTCTCGCTCGTGCTCCTGGCCTTTGTTCCGCTCATGACGATCAGTTCGTATTGCATGACCAAGGCCGTGACAGCGGCCGTCGAGAGCGGCGCCAAAGCCTACGCCTACGCTGGCGGTATCGCGCAGGAATCACTGTCCAACGTCAAGATCGTCCACGTGCTCAACACGCTTCAGGCGGCCGTGGACAAGTACTCAGCAGCGCTCCACGACTCGCAAGCAGCGGGGATTCGCAAAGGCTTTGCGGTGGGCATCGGCACCGGCATCGACCTCTACATCCTCTTTAGCACGTACGCCGCTGCAATGTACTATGGCGCGACGCTGGTCGTTCGAGACCAATTGGGGGACAGCTCCCAGTCGTGCGCTCTGTCGAGTCAGTGCTACGATAGCGGTCGCATCATCACAGCGTTTTTCTGCGTCGCCATCGGTGCCAGTGCCTTTGGACGTATGGCCCCGAGTCTCGAAGCCACTACGATAGCTCGATCGGCGATTTTTGAATTGTTTGAGCTCATCCATCGAAACCCTAGCGTGGAT